CCAAAAGTAATATTTTAACCTATAAAACTAATGTAGTAGTGGAAGTAAGGGTCGATCTCATGAAAAGTGTGTAATTCAATGTTTTATACTTCGTACAATGATTGGGGATTTTTGTATGCAAATAATTGTAAATAACGTAATCAATAAAATGAAAATTAAATTAACGAAAACAATCAAAAGACTAACCTTGGTCTAAATCCACATCCACCGTTGGAAATCCACGATTAATCATAGATGCAATAATAATTCAATTCATATTTTGAATATTCATCGTTGGAATTGATTCATATCTCTCCTTAATTTTAGTTAATTAGAAATCAGCGTTCTAACTAACTCTAATTATTAAATAACCTCAAACCAGTGCTTAAGATTTAATTTAATAAAAGCTTTACACAATAGAAAAATCGATGAACCACTACAACAAAAATAGTCATTTGCAACATTAGAAAGGCCAAAAGGGTCTTTTGGCAACATTTTAGTAAGTGAATGTTGCCATTGGTTAATATAAATGAGTTTTGGCAACGTTTTTTAAAAAAATGTTGCGATAGACACCTTTAGCAATGTTTATTGAGTGTTATGATAGGTTTTACCTTTAGCAACGTTTGACAAATATTGCGAAAGGGGAGACTTTTCGCAACGTTCACCAAACGTTGCAAAAATTGACTTTTAGCAACATTTATCAAACCTTTCGCAACGTTTGACAAATGTTGCTAAAGGTAAAACCTTTTGCAACACTGAATAAACATTGCTAAAAGTCACATTTCGCAACGTTTGACAAATGTTGCCAATAATATTCTGGCCCATTTAAATGAATCCAATCACGTTTCCATTTTTGCCGCCACCAATTTTTCGGCAACTTCCGGCCACCTAGACCACCGGACATTGGTACCAACATACCTCCTCAACATCCTCTATATTTCTCACCCAACAACTCTCATTTTCATCCATTAATTTGCGCAGTCCCGAATGTCACGACACATGCTACATTTTTCATTGATTCCGGAGCCGTCCAGGCGAACGGCGGTCTCGGACTACCTGGGCTGGGTTCGCCTTCACCTGGCGCACCTAGCCCAGCCATGGGTCTCCCCTAATTTGTCTTCTATCAACCTGATTTCAGTTCGAGGTTCAGTTTCAATTCCCCTATAGACAAACGTTGGTATGGGAAATGGAAGTAAAGACATTAAACTTCCCATTGGGTTCAGATTTCCCATTACACACGTCTTCTCCATATTTTTCATTCATTGTACAAATCCCTCTATGTATTTAAGGTGATTTGAAGGAGAAGAGATATTTCTTCAGCAAGAGAAACAGGAATGTAATGAATAATTGTAACAGTTTCAGTGCTAGCTGTGATTACTGGAAAGCTACTGGCCAAGATAGCTAAATTGTAGCTTCTGGAACCAATCGAGTAATTGGAATGAAGAAATCATTGGTCTTCTATAAAAACAACTATTATCGTGGTCGTGGGATCAAAACTTAATGGGTTATCTATTAATATTGCATTCTGGTTACATCCTTCAATAGAGGATGAGGTCAATGTTGCTTGCTTCCATCCTTCAGCAGGGGGTGGACTTGTATATGGAACCAAGGTAAACAACAAAATTGTGTCAAGAATCTCTAGTTTGATCTTGTACTCTATAAATTTCTTCTAAATTCTAAACACTGCAGGAAGGAAAGCTGAGGATTCTTCGTTGTGATCTTTCTCGTAGCCTTAAACATGAAGGATCTTGTTTTCCAGATGAAAACATGTTTGAGGTATAAGAAGGCATGCATTATTTATTTTCATTTGCTTCTTTTCTATTGCTCAAGCTGTTTTTAAATGTATGTTGTCTGGGGAATTTACTTCTAAGCCAAATTGAATAAAGGATTGTACTTGCAATAAGCTCGCAGAATATGTTTCTAATCCTCTGTTCTGTACCTTACATGCACCAACATCCAATATTCTTTCTCACAAGTTCATCAGGATGTTGTCCTTGACCTGATGTACCCACTGTGCTGCTGGCCAGTCTCAATACTGTATTGTGAGTGATCAAGTTATTGTAATTCAAGTTGCTCTTATTCTATATTATATATTAATCTTACTAACAATTAGCTAATTTATTCAAGGTTCCTTCATATGCATTGGAAGGCTGATTATTATTGATCAAGGGCAATGTATAAGATGTGATACAGCTTGATAATGGTTTTTTTCTCCCAGATTTACTGCCTTTTGGGGTCTTCTGTTGGGGGTGATTATAATACTTAAAAAATTACATCTAGGGAATGTCTATGGATATGAATTTGTTTTGTTGAGGAAGATATAGTTGTATATTGTAGAAATACAATAATATCCGGTCCTTCTAAACTAACTTATAAGTTCATTTTGCATCAATTGAATGAACTGATAACTTGAGTTAGTGACATTTATCGGCCATTCATAAATTGTAATTGTTTATACTATATTTGTTATTGTTGCTAGTGATTAGTAGGTTTTGGGTTGCAGAGTTATTTATTCATGGGTTTCAAGTGGCCTTAGTGGNATAAGTTGCATTTTCAATTTTGTCAATCTATTTGCATAAATTGTTGCTGTTAAAAAAAAAAAAAAAAAACCCACCCTACTGCAACGTTTGGCAAACGTTGTCATTGATAGATATGGCAACGTATCTATCAACGTTCAAAAAACGTCGCCGTATCTCTCTACTCTACGACAACACTTCGATTTGCAACACACGTTAAATCTATTTAACGTTGCTGTAGGCCTACGGTAACATTTTTTGAACGTTGCCATAGGCTATTTTTGATGTAGTGAACTAGATAACACAACCACTAGCGGTTGCATTCAATCTATTTAAACATTCTTCTTAAGATTCAATAACCTCTATCGCAGAAAATCATCAAATCCTAATGCTTTACAAGTTAAAGGGATGAAACAATTTTAATTTGATATTTAACTTAGCAGTAGATTGTAATGAATAACAAACTAGTGGCCTCCTAGCAATTAAACATAACAATCATGAAAATAAGTGTAGAAGAATATTCAATGCGCAAAATAAGAATTAAACAATAAGAAAAAATATTTAGATCTCACAATATGTGGTTCCGATGCTTCAATTTCCTTCGACCAAGTATAAAAGTTTAGTTACAATTCATGAATCTAAGAGATAAATAATGAAGAATGGAGTTTGGAGGCATTCTGTACGTTCTCCCCCCGTTCTAGGGTTTTAAAATATGTATTTATAGTTGTTTCCATAGGTAGTTGACTTAAATTCGGAAACTGGAAATTAGTTTGTGAAAAATGCCTATGCGCGCATGCCATATATTTCCTTGCCCATGTGCCGTTCATTGGTTTTAGGCTCGGTAAGTAAAATTCATGCTCGTGCACGTGCGAGAGAATTTGCATGCGCACGTGCGCAGGTTTGTCTCTGAATAGTGTTCGATATTTTAGTCATAACTTTCTCCACATATATCCAATTAAGTTGGTTCAAAATGCGTTGGAAATATAACTCAAAGGGATACAACTTTTATTCAGATACCATCTTCCAATTCGATAGTTTTCCATGTAGAAAATGGGTCTCAAACTGAGACTGAAAATCCGATGCATAACTTTTCGATTGGAAAGTGATGTGTGATCCTACTTTGACG